CATAATATCCAATGGGGACTATTTTGAAGGCGGCCACATTAATGTAGACGAATAAATAATAATTTTTTTCAAAAAACGAAATTTCCCGATATTTTCTGAACACACCTCGTATAATTATTATAATCATAATTCAACTATAAAAAATAAAGATAAAATTGAAATCAAATATATTTTTTTATACAATTTTACTATTTTATGGCAAAATTGGCTAGAACCCAAATTTGCTAAAATGTAATAATTTACACTTATTGTTTTTTATTGTCTGTGCCCAATTTTCAAACAAATCTTATTCAAAGACATAATTTTATTTACTGCCTCTAATATATTTTTTCAAGTTATTCTCTTTTCAATTTTTTTTACACACTTTATCTTGGCTTTACTTGTAACAAACAGCAGTTTTAATCCATATATTTCCACAAATCTAGGAAGTCGATTTTAACCTGCTTCCACATAACCGATTGAGCTGAAATTTTGAATACACTTTTGGTGTTTCTGACAATACAATCTACTTAATAATTTATTCAAAATGGCCGCCGATCCAAGAGGGCGGATTACCTTTTTTGACAACCCCCTTAATATGGGCATCAAATGAAAAGTTTTTGCGAGTAGAATTACCTATTTTTTAACAACGTTATTGATATGGGTATTAAATGAGAAGGTTTAATTTAAACAGCTAAAAATTAAAGTATTTTGATTATTGTTAAACAATTTGTTTATTTGTGCTTTTATCCGAAATCGGCGGATTTAATACGAGTATTGTATGCAACCCATTATACATTTTAAGATGTGTCTACTGCTCCTCAGCAGCAACTAAATAATATTTTTTTTAAATCACCGTCGCGGAGGTCGATTGGACACTTTTATAAAATGTTTTTTAATTACTGCCTTGATACATAAATAACTATTTTTAGTACTGGTAAATAGAAATTTTCAAGAGCTCTTCAAGCCCATTGCATTGCATTGGTCGGCGATTCGATTATGTTTAGTTTGATATCTTTTGCAATCAGATTGGCCGTTTCAAACTAGAGATATGACCCAAATTTTAAAACCTTGCTATAAAAAATTATTCTGATTTAAACGTAAATTTTTTTACCAAAAATATATTATTTTTCATGTTTAACCGCGTCATATTTTCGCCAAAAGTAAACTTTTCATATACTAATTTAATAAAAGTAAGAAAGGTAATTTTAAAACGTACATATGTAATTAATGATCACTATATTTCGCAACAACCCACCGTAGCGCAGTAGGTATACCAAAAGATTTTTTACATCGATAAATTTAATTTGTTTTGTTAGCTAAACCATCTGTTTATGGTAATAACTAATTACTAACTTAAGCAAATAAAAAAAACGCTGAACATAAAAATATTACTGCTTTATACACAGAAAACCAGCGCGCTGGTGTTGATAAATAACTTAAAAAATACCAGCATAAAATATTATATATCGTTCGAGGGAGATATCGAATGATTCACCCCTTTCTCCCCTTTAGTGCCTGTTTATGTGGAACATGGTATGCAAAATACCTCCTGCTGGCATCAGAGGGGTGCAAGGCAAGAAAATTCGAACCTTAAATGACCATGGGGTACGTTAATAGCTGACGATATACGCATTAAACAAAGCAATCAACTTTTATTGTGCTTTTTAGGCTTTAGGCATATTTTTTTTGTTTAGTGTTCAATTGTTTTTTTATTTGAAAAGTACATTATTCATGAGAAATGGCTTAATATATTACAAGTTGCAATTTAAAATTCTAGCAAAATAAAATAAAAAAACCTATACAGAAAAAAAGCCTATCAACATGAAATTTGTTATAACGATTCCAAACTGGACTGGGACTGGTTTTTATAAAACCACAATAATTTATTTTTTCTACTCCCACCTTTAAAACGCCACTTATCGTACATGTTTCCATGACACGAAGTGATCTTTTAAATACACAAGTTGTGGCTTTATGGCGTTTTAGTCACGGGCTGAATTTAGTTTAAAGTTAGTTAGTTAGCCAAATATCATACAATCGTTAAAATAAAGTGCCCTTCTTGTGTAATAATAACGTAGATACTATTTTATTTACTTAATAAAAAAAAGTATAAAATATTTTTTCAACCCCTATTTGAAATGTTTATATGCAAGTTTAAACTGATCTTTTGATTTTGCCGGCAGTAAACTAAATTAAACTAAAAGCATTAAAAAATTTCGGTGGAGACTCCACTGTAAAGTGCCCATTAAACATTCTCTTCACTTTCACTGTGAAAAACTGCTTCTAAATTATCATTTAAACGGTTGTTAGTCCATTTTTAAGGGATAAATTTTGATAATAAGTATTTGTCGTAGAACAAGTATAGTATGCAACTTTTCTAGACACTCGTTTAATTAAGCACTCGCTCGCTAAATTACAATGTGACCAAAATGGCGTTTATCAAACTTGATATATAATATACTATTTATTGATTAAGGCGAACTTTACTTTTAAGGCAAGATTAGATTTAAATTACACATGTTACACCAATATTACAAAAATGCTTACTATATCTTATAAGAAAAATGTATAATAAGAATATATAAGTTTACATTAAATTAAAAAGTAATAATTTTAAGTGGTGTACATAACTTATATGTATGGTGAGTAAGGGTTTTTTAAGTATAAAAAATACAAATAATTTTTAATTATAAGAGTTTAAAAATTGAATTTTATTTCTTTACTTTAATTTTTTAAGAATATTTATATACAGGGTGCAACAACTTAGTTGCAATTGGTGCCACCAAGTATCCTTTTATACAGGGTGGTCCAAAAGGAACCTTTAATAATGTGATAATCAATAAAAAACGTTAAAATAATATTAATTTCTTAATAAACTCAACAATCTTAATATCTAAACCCAAATTTCATTAGTTATAGAAGTTGCTCGAAATGTTCACCACTAACTTCGATAAAAAAAAAACTAGACTGCATATTATCATATAGTACATTATAGACCAGACGGAGAAAGCACATATTATAGCCGAGGAAATTAATAAGCTTTCGCCGCCGTGTTTTATATACAATTTTTTTTCAATATTAATAAATAATTTTTTAAGATTGTCACATCATTTTTAGGTTAGCTTCAACTGACATGATGACATTTTAGCTTTATTTCTGTATGAGTTTAATAATAATTTGACTTTTGAACTAGTATTAATATGATGGCGTTTTATACAGACTTATAATATGAAAATTATTGTACGCTTGAAAAAAATTACAGTGAATTGGAATTCCAATTTTACTGTGAAAATGTATTTTGGGAATCGACTGCTTATTTTAAAAATGTGTTTTTTTATTATTTGCCTATAGGCATAACAATAATATTGTTATGACGACACTGCTTGTAGTATGAGAACGAATTTAAAGCCTACCTGATACAAACAATACCATCAAATTTCAATTAAATATGATTTTTAGTTTGAGAAAAATTATTTTTTTTTTCAAAATAATACCTATATGCAAAGTTTAATATCTTGTAATTCTGAAACTGTTGATTTTTTGGTAAGAAAATTATAAATATTCATTTATCCACATTTTCATCTAATTTCCACCATATTGGAATTTTACATGCATAAATAGAAAAAAAATCAGGGAATCCAAAGATTTCAAACTTAATACATTATGTTACGACCAGGGCCGGGCCTAAGGGGGGTGTAGGGTCTTGGCAGTTGGTTCCAAATCCAAACACGGATGGCAAAATTTATAGTATTTGGGTCGGTTGGTTGGGTATACCTACCCTACCAACCAACCCATCACAATAAATAAAATGAAATATAATTTTTAAACTTTACCTACATAATACAAAATTATAATTTTTAATCTATTGTAACCTCCTATAATCGTTACCGTCAAGAAAATTGTATTGGTCAACCTTATTTTTATTAAAGGACATTATATTTCACACAAGCGGTATGTACAAAGTCGGCACCGCCTCGCGGCTTTGTCTTTCTAAATTATTAATTAGTTGAAGCTTATCTAAGCTAAGTAAAACTAGTGTCAATAAATAGGAATTAATTTTTTTTTAATATGGAAAAGAAAGCTAGATCGGGCCGAGTTCTAGTAAAATGCTCATTATGTGGATCTGTGTTTAACAAGGACTAGAAAAAAATGCACGAGGAAAATATTCACGGTGGAAATTTGGTTAAAATTAAAATTGTTACTGTTCCGGATAATCCACTTACATTGGTAGCAAATAAAAAAAATAGAGACTTCAAAAGAGCATGCTAATGGTAGGTAAAGACATTCTTTATCTACACTTTACAACACTTTACATTCATGATAAAACCAGAGATAAAGAAGATAAAACTACTGAAAATTTTTACTATTACTACTAAAGTATCGATAAAAAAATAAGTTGGTTTTTTTATCGTCTCCACCCCCCCAAAAAATTGTGCCTCGGTACGCCCCTGGTTACGACGGCCATTAAAAACATTTTTTTTAAATTTAAATAGCTTTTCAAATTAAAAAAAAATAGCAATAACAATAATCGAAAAATACCCATTCAATTAAATCCCCTGTATAAAACCTGTTTTAAAAGTTTATGTGCCTTATAAAATCGTTAAAAAGGAAGATTTTATTGTTACGGCCTTCGAGGACCGTTGGGGATGTTTTTGTGATTTAACTTTAAATTCACAACCAACCTTGTGTAGGTTAGTTAAAGAAGTCTATACCTGTTTCCTCTATTAAGGGCGTAGAGAAATAAATATGCTTGACATCTTAAGTTGTAACTCGATATTTTGTGGTTATAGTCACACTCGAAGATCCCAACCAACATTTGGTTTTATTTATGTACACAATACAGTATAAACACATAAGGCAATCAGCTGGTTGAATTCAAACAAAGGGAATTGATACCGAAAAGTGGCCATGAGAATTTTAATTTTAATTATGCAATTTGTGTTTTTATTTTATTTAACAACAATAAGTCATTTTTGTGCCATAAGAAAGTTTGGGTAGATAAAGTGAAACATATAGGGTTAAAAAAAATGTTTTTATTAATCACTGTTGGTAGTACAAAACATGTGAAATGTTGTACAGATCATGTACTTTATCACAAAAGTAGCTAAATACTAAAACTACTCAATAATTATAAAAACTTATATAAAATATCTTACTTATAGCCTCTTATAAATATATAATCATCCATGCATAGTTTCATATTGTTTCGAATAATTTGTACGAACATACATGTTTTATAATTCATAATTATTACTTTCACGAAAAACACTCTACAGACTAAATTATTATCACAAAAACAAAATAAATTTTTTCATATACTTGAAACATTTTTAAGTACACAGGTACATTTTATATCAATTAATGCATTATTATAATACATATCACTTAATCAAAAATCACAGACTCCTCAGGGAATCCTCAATAATAAAAAACAATAAAAAGGTCATTGGACCATCGATCGGATTGTCCCGTGGGACGTAGAAATACTGTTAAAATATATAAAACTACAAACTAAATCTAGATCACGCTTTGCTTCTTGATTTCATTTTTTACATACTATAAAAAATATAGAAAATAACTCGCTTTTTTGTTTTAAAATCGTATTTATCTCAGTCGTTCATCGTTTCCCTCTCTTCACCAAACCTTTTTATTCGCAAAAAGACCGGTACAGCTTCTTCTTCGTTAATTCGTATTCAGTACTTATGATTACTGTGCCACCTCTTGTCATTTTTCTGTAACAAACAAAAAACAATAAGCAACCACTCAACAAGAAAAACTTTTTTTACATTTATAATTTTTCTAAATAGTAGGTAGTACTTACTTTAAGAATTGTGGCAGAAATCCCCATCCAGCGTTGGCTTGTTTGAAAGTAAGATATATTTCGAAAGTGGAAGGAGTTGTTGGGTCCAATTTTACAGTGCTAAGCCTTCTGCAGTCTTCCTCGCCTTCGAAGAGAAGGTATAGAGTCATACCGCGTACACCGCAAAGTTCAGAATCTGACATCTTCACAATATCTTTGGAGATTTTCTGGAGCAGCCCGCAGGGCAAAAGGACCTCTCCACAGGAGAGATGCGTCCTCTTGGCCGCCCTGATTTCTTCCTCCAATTTCTTCGAGAGGAATTCCTCCGAATTTGCTGTCGGTTCCACGAACTGAAGTCTTTGATCAAAATACCATTCTATAAAAAATGTATGGTTAGTATTTGCGCAAATTTAAAAGAAAAATATGACTTACTGTTTGGTTTTTGGTATTCCAGAGAGTGATGAGACGCAGGTAAAATTTCCATGATAGAATATATAAATATATAACACTTAAATAATATCACAAATAAATTTGGGGAAGCTTCTAGTCTTTCTAGTGAAAGCTCAAACTTCCTAAAACTGTAGTTGCTAAACTTGTACTGACATCAGCCGGTCGCCGGCTCGCTTTTATAACCGGCTTCCCTACCGGTACCGAAACAAACCGAACGCTCATTCGGGCAACTCGATGCGGCACGTACATCGCACGAGTGCTTTTCTTTGTTCTGAACATACAGTTTTTTACAGTAAAATTGTAGGTTTTAATAAACTAGGACAATTTTATTATAATTTTTTTATTGAAAACACATTCGAGCTTAAAAAGCAAACAAAATTACTTGGTTTTGTGAATACGCAAGTAGGCAGAAGCTGATTGCTTATTAAATATTTATTAGCCGGCTTTTCAGATGATGCAATACTTGTTGTTAGTTTGGTTATATTCTATAAAGCCGGTGGTTGTTGATCTTGAAACATTTTCGATTATAAAAGATGATTTAACCGTGGTTTATATTGCCAAAAATATGACGCAACGTTGCCAATAAGGCCCTAACAAAGGAACGCGTAAAGGAACAAAGAAACTCAACGTTTTTTAGATGTTTATTGATTAAATTTATTAAACTTATTAAAATATTTACCTTACGAGTTTTTATCGAAAATATTATAATTTATTATTATTATTTATAGAAACCTATAGTGTAACTATATTTTTTTCTGCTTTTGAACATATTTCCATCATTTAAACCTTTTTATAAACCTGTTGCCAAAATGTAATGTAATGAAATAGTTGGCAGAAAGTATACTTGGAATGGAACAAAGGGTTTTTTTTTATATTTTAAGTCCATAAATTGTTAAAACTGATTGATTAATAGTATACTATATATATATATATTATGTATCAAGTATAAAACACTACTTTAGTTACGAGTTTAATTAAGCACGAGCGAGTGTTTAATAAAAACGAGTGTATAGAGAAGTTTATAAACGAGTTGAAATCTACGACGAACACAAAACAAAATTTAAAGCCAATTTTATTTCTTAAAAATTCGCACTTAAGTATTAACTTTTGGGCTTTTTAATCACGGGCTGAAGTTAGCTTAATTATAAATTGGGAAGAAGTAAGGTTAAATCCGGGTGACAGTTGACAAATTTTTAAGAAATAAAATTGTAATCAATTATTGGTAAAACTATAATGAAATATATTGCAATATTATTTTTGATATTTATTATTTATTTATATTATTATGATTTCTTTATTTTTATAAATACTGTGATAATGGAATTATACATGCATATATTTAAATAAACATAAAAAATTTTGCTTTCGAACATATTGGGTTTATCAATTTAATATGTATGCCAAAATTCTAAGAGAGGGACAAAGAAATGTTCTTTAGGTATTTCGGGTTAAAGATTGGTAAAAAGGGTTAAACTTGAATATTAACCATATATGTATGCCCAAATAACGAGTTCTTACAGTATGGAATATTATAATTTTGAATGGCTTATAATTAATTTATTTCTAAAAATACATTGTATAGTATAAATAGGTTAAATTATTGATTTAGATTATATTTATTAAATTTTAATATATTTGCATAACATAATAATATTATTTCTAGTTTTAGTTCAGAATGGTATTTTTTATTGCCGTACAAATATCATCTATATTTAACCAATGTCAAGAAGGCCCTAACAAAGAACTTGGAAGGGACAAAGGAACTCAACGTGTTTTCGGATATTTCTGGTTTTGAAAGGTAATCGCTTGTTCTATCTTACGAGTTAGGACAAGTTTTCAGTGCAATTTTTTTCTACTTATTTTTAGGAACATGCTAAATTGTTTTTTTACCCTATTTGGTTTCTTAAATATATTTAATAGCCTAATATATTACAGTAAAATATATTTAGGTCAAAATTATATATGATGCAATTTCTGGTAAAAGGGAAACAAGGAACTTTGTTTTAGGTAGTTTAGGTTTAAATTAGTTAATTTTAACACTGTTTATCTCGAAAACTAAGCGTTTGACGAACTATGTTAACATAAATTAATATTAACTTTTTGCATTTGCGACAAAAATCCGTAGTGTATAATGTAATCTTTAGTAGTAAGGAAAAATGAGTTAACATTTTATATAAAATATCGCTCATCCGAAAAAAAACGTCAAAACCGTTATAGATTGGTGCTAGATCCAGGGTCAGAATGTTTTATTGCTAACCGAACTTGTACTTATTAGTTTTTAGGACAGAATAGTATTAATGAATTACTAATATTGTATTGCTAATAAGGTCCTCCCAAAAAGAATTTGGATGGGACCATTTTTTAAGTTAATCAAACATCAATGTACAATATTTACCTTATGAGTTATAGATGAGAGATACAAAATAGTATAACTTTTATCACTATGACTAATTTATTTTTTAATGATGTTAAAATGTAAAAATATTTAGTAATATGAATAAAAACAAAAAATGTTCTTTTTAAATATCTTAAACAATCCAAATAGGTTATTTGGATTATTTAAGGTATTTACTCCATTTAATTTTAACATACATATTTCCAAAATATAACAGGTTGGAAAAGATATCTGGGAGGGAAAAATGTGTTCTTTGTTGTAAGATAAGTTATTTTTATTTATTTATTCATTTTACACTATGTTATAACTATACTTTTAAATATCTTAAATTTATTTATTTATTTACGCATTATCCCTCGTATAATAAATATTATTAATACCTACACGAGTTTAATTATGCACGTTTATTAATAAAAGTAAGTAATTCACTATATAAAGTATTTTAATGAGAAAGTATTTATGTAAATGATTCCCTTATATTATACTACTAAAATAAGGATAAATATAATTTCACAGAACATTTGGTTTTATTGGGCCGTGGTAACTACGGCGTAGTTCTTTGTTTGGGCCGTACCCTAAAGCATTCAATACAAAGTAAAATTAAGGAAAATTAAGTAAGTATTCTGACAAAACGAATAAACCGCAAAAATATATTTTATATAAGTTTTGTGCACGTTTAAATATCGATTAGGTGCCGCCGCATAGGAAACCAACAAAGAGCAAAATAAAAAAGTTGCATAAATAACAAAGAGGCTTTTAAAAATAGAGTTTAAAAACACGAAAACAAAATTTAATTAATTTACACAATGATTTATGTTTGTCAAGGTAATGTAATACGAATCGATAATGGCGAAAATTAACTATACATTATAAATTTCCATTGTTTTTCTAAACAAAGAAATTAACGATATTGCTTACCCCAAGTTTACGAGTAATTTCAACAATATTTATACGTGGTAAAAACCTCGAGGGTTCGATTCTGGATTTATAGTCCTTTGTGCCTTTGCATCTGTGTCCTTTGTGCTGGATATTCGTATTTCGACAATTTAGTTACAAACTACTATACAATAAAGACAATTTTAAATCATGAATTATTTAAACTTAATATTGGAAGCTTTGTTTTAAGAGGGACTGGTGTGATAGGTTTTAAATGTGCATAACAGATGTGATTAAATCAGTCCAAAAATGTGCTGAACCCGTCTTTACTTTTAGTGCATTACTTTTTTTTCTGACAGTAAACATACAAGGTGCACTAAGTATCCTTCTGTGTTATAAATCTTTTTATTTGAAGAGCTTCAAGATCGTTTATAATAGAGAAAAGTTGTCTATTTACAATTGTTTTAAAATTTGTTATCTATTTTGCGTTCACAATGACTTCATTATAACACCGCTCGGTGCTAAAAAAAATTTGATTTTATAGGTTGGCTATTCTTTAAACAGCATAATATTTTTCGTATTGGTTATAATATTTTTATGATTTTTCTAGTACTTACGAGACTTTTCTGGCAATAAATTTTGTTTAACACCAAAGAAAATCCTTTTTTTTTCTTCTTTAACATTATCATCCGCTTATTGTAAATAAGTAAATTAAGGACGGCATGCCGCGGCATAGCGAATCGATTTTGACATTAACTGTCAAACCAATGACTCTAAGGTAAAATTCGACCAAATTAAATTTAAATTATAAAATTAATTTTATTATAGAATTTTTGCAAAATAGATAAAATTGCATAAAGAAGTCATGTCATAAGACCTTTTGTCGCACTCGTCCATTACAAAACTCGATCCTTCGTCGCTCGTTTTATAAATTGTCCGCATATGACATTAGTTCTTTAATATACTAATAAAAAATCAGCGGTTCACAAATAATTTCTTTTTAAACTAAGTTTTACATGTAAACACACATTTATATAAAAAAATCAAGGAATCCAACGATGTATTAAACTTACCGACTATATTTACGTATGTATGTATGCATGCATAACTTATGGCGGCCAATATAGAAACAAAAGATGGTGATGGTAACAACTCAAAATTTAAAAGCGAAAAATGGATGGAAGTGTAGATAAATGTACTACCAAACTATTCGATTATTTTCTAGGCTGTAAGAATAATTTAGACCAATCAGGTGAAGTTTTTACATCCTAGTCTGTAAAAAAACCGTTAGGGCCAATAAAAAAATTCTATAACTGCTGACACATCTAAAGCAATCTAAAATATCTTTATAGTAATTGTTATTATAATTGTAAAAACGTTTTAGGTATCTTTTAACAAAGAAGACTGTGCCTTTGACATTAATTAATTAATTATTTTTTAATTCCCAGAAATAACGAAGTTATTACAATTTTCGGTTGTGACAGGGTTTTAGTTTTTTTTTGAATATTTTAAATTATTATTGTAATTATTCAACTGAATGAAAAAAATACCCATATTGGAAAAAGTATACTTGGGGAACCCTGTATAGCTCTGGGCTAAACAAGAAAAAAAAATATTATTATTCTTATTCTTATGATATACAGGGTTTCCCAGGAGGTGTGGAATCTACAAACCCCAAGAAATCCCACAAAATTATTTAAAAAATCCACCTTCGTTATTCAAATGATACATATTCTTTAAAATGGAAACATTGCGTACTAATAAAGTCAGACTTGACAAAAGCAAATACAGGAAATCCCTGTCAAGAACTAATAAAACAATAGATTAAATCTATATAGAAAACCTAACAAAAATTATTATTACATTGACATACACACAG